GCTTGGCTACAGATAAAGATAAGTTGTAGGATACCGTGGTATACTTGTTCCTACTGTAGTTTGTTGCAGCATGAGTACAAGGCATGGTAGAAAGCGCATAGATGGTTTTGAGGAAAAAAAATGCATTGGATCAGACCTGTAACCTGGCTATTAGCATCCTAGGTATTAGCCTTTAGCCAAGTAGATGGGAGAGTTTTAAATCTATGACAATTATAATTTGTACTTATGTTTATCACCTTGTATCTCTCTGTGACCCTTATCTTGCCCATGATTAGCAGCCTCTAGTCTTGTAGCATTCTCGTAACATCAGCAGCAGTTCCCAGTTCTAAGCACTAAGGCTATGCAATGAATGCTTACAGGATTGATCTTAAAAGAATTTATCACACATACTAATTTTTCAGTAAGACACTGTAGAACAAGTAGCACCTAAAGACTTTGTCTTTCCTTGTCTCTGGAAGGAGGTTGCATAGCCCAGGCACTTGCACAACCCATGCACATGTGGTACTAAGGCAATCAAGCCTCAGGAGCCTCACGGGCTGTGACAAGTCCACCGGCAGCAACAGCAATAACCTCTCCTGTTTCTCTTGCTAGCAGCTGCCTGGAGTGGTATAGTTCTTAACCTTCTTCAGAAGAAATTGTATTCATTTTCAGTTGAGTGCTGCTTGAGTAAGGTCAGTGGAGGTCACTAGTTTATTTACTAGGTTAACTGCCCTAGAACTTGCTCCATACTCAGACATCCAGTTTCCCTGGTGTAAATGTGAATTAGGTACTTTCATGGTCACTTTTGAGAATCTGAGCCATAAAACTAGATGCCTGTCTTGAAAAAGTAGATTCAGACTGAAACTAACTTGAAAAGGCAGTTTCTCTCTTTCCAGAGAAGGATCAGGTATTTGGAGAATTTTGCTTATTGCTCTGTGATCTTTTGCATGCTGAGTGAATATTAGCACACCACTTTCAAGAGACACAAAAGAAAGCAGGCGTTCTGTTCCAAATATTTTCTTTTCTATTAGTTTAAAAATAAAAGCTTAACACAAGCAAATCACAGTTGTCTAACTCAAAGGAAATGTGGCCAAAACCATAACCAGCCATGTGTTCATCCAAACTTGAAGTAAAATCACATTGTGTCAGGAGGGCATTTAATCACATTTGCATTTGTTATTTGCATCTTTTCAACAGCTTTTTTTAGCTCTCTGTTGCTGTTGTGATACTTACAAATGTAACACTAGAGACTGTAATAAAGTACATGTGTTTTTCTGCAGGATTTCTTTCTATTGCTGTGCTAATTTGTACATGGAAAATAGTCAAATACAATCGTCCATTCCTTTCAGGCTCTTTGACATTACACTCCCCTATTATCTAACTGGGTCTGTCTTGGATGACCACAAGCACAATTAGCCCATGAAATGAATACAATGTTTCTTGTTTACATCTGAATGTGCAAAGCTTAACAGTTTTTCCTTTCATGTGCAGATAGGTCTATCTACTGTTGTAGGTCTGCTTCTCTGTTTCTGTAGCTGTATTGAGAGGGTTTTTTCCAGTATGGTGTCCAAAGTGCACACGTATATTTTCATGCATAATCTCATATATGTACAGACTGGCATTTGATCACATCAGTTCGGTAAGGATGCGCTAAAATACGGAGTTCAGCTATACAAAGCTGAAATTTATATATGTTACAAAGTACAAAATTTCTCACCAAGTGCTGCTGTACTCCAAATGTCTCATGTCTATAAAACAGAACAATTTATCTTGTGAAGGACTAGATACTACTAATATATATAATCATCATTTCTTCCTACGTTACTCTAGAATTCAGTTTTTGGACTTATTTTATTGATCTCCTCTTAATTTTTTAATTTTGTTTAAAGTATGTAATTCAGTTACTCATTTTCTACTGAGTGCAGAGACTTCTGTGAGCTGAACTAAGTTTGTGCGATGGAATTATCCTTTTTGGGATGCGAACAAATGGGAGCCAGTACTTAATGTAGGCTGTTGAGCTACTGGTCTGCTTCACCAGTGTCAGTCAAGTTTAACATCTGTTCTTTTAATGACTCTGCTAGATTCATAGGCCTGTGAAAGAATAATATAAGAAGCTATGAAATTGAACACTGTGGAATATGGTCACCTGTAGTGACGGATCTGTCAGCTGGACAAACTTACATGCTCGGAAGGTTCATGAGTTACTGTAAAGCCTGAGTGAGCCACATGACCAGACAAATAATTCTTTAAGAGAGGACTATCAATCTCTGCATGACTGAATTTTCACTGAAGCAAACAAAAACTGAACCCTTTTTAACTCTGTTGTTAGCCATTTAACATCATGGTTTCTCTTACACTGTTGTACTGTCAAGTCTGCAAATGACAGTGCTGTTTTTACTGCTTTTTGTGCCTATTTTCTTAAGCTTGTAAGAAAACTCAGAACTGTATGGAAAACAATTATATGGGTAAAAATGGGAAAGTGAAGTCTGTTGCAGCGGAGGCCTATGTTCTCTTGTATGAGGAAGGAAAGAAGAATAGTAAGATCATCCTTATACAAAGAAACAAAAGATGAAGGTAGTGAAAAAAAACAGTGAAAACATACCAACCACCAGATGCTATAGTATCATGATGGGGAGCAAGAAAGGCAGAAAGAAATTACTTGTACAGCCCAAGCCAAGGACAGTCGTGAAAAAAGTCCTCACATCTGCTGGACAACAACTAATCAAAAATTGTAGTGAAATGTTGAATTTCATCAGAATATCATACTCTGGTATGAACCATGACTTCTTCCTAACACTTGTACAGAAATGGCTAACTTTTGCTTTTGGCTTCTCTAACTTTTCATGTCAGCTTATTGACAATAACCTTGTCTTAGCAGATGGCTGACCAGTTTTGCATACTCAAGGTCTTATAATGTCCTCTAACTCTTTAATGTATGTTCGGGCAAAATGAGGGAAGTAAGCAAGAGAGGCATTTCATGGAGTGAGAAAATCTCTAGGTCGTTAACCCCATGTTATGTTGAACACAGACCAACATAGTCAAAGTTCAGTACAATCTGATCATTTAGATGTCCTTTTGTCTCAGAAAATGTTAAACATTTCATTGTAGGTCTGTGATTTTCTATCATGCACACTAAGACTTACTTTAAATGTTCAGACATTATTTTTTCTAATTAGCACAATTTTTTCCTTCGACAACAGGGACAAATGGAGAGGGCTGTCTATTGGGAGTTATAGATACTAGAATGATATGAAGGT